GCTTTTAAAAGGTTTTTCTCTTGGCAATCTGCATGTCATGCCAATCATAACTCGAATAATTCAAGTACGAATGCAAGCAATAACCTACATACACTGATACACCATGTTAATCCAAGCTTGTATTTTGATCATTTTAGAAAATATGTTTGCTTAAAGCACATTGAGATATATACTCATGCATTAAAAATCTCTCAAAAGCTTTAATTGAATAACTAAAAAGAACATCAAACAGCGATGCGTACCTTTAAAAAAAACAATCTTTTGATACTAAATTTATTTAATGAAATAAAGACTTAGGTAAAAAAAGATCAATTAGTACGAGAGTTTACATAAAAATAAATTATACAAGAATTCATAGAAAAAAGATGACGGAAAAAAAAAGAAAGTAATTAAGAAATTTAAATATATTTATCCGACATTACCGTCGCGTCATGTGTTACATTAATTTTTATTATATTTTTGACATATCATCAGTCACGTATTCAATTATGTAACTGTTTTATAACAATAATTAAAACGTAGGAGTGCTATGATAAAAATTTTAGAATACAGAATTAGAATAAACGAAAAGATAGAATATGGGTTTTAGATGTTATAATGTATTTTGGGCATTATAAAATTGATGAATAATTCACATTGAAGAAAAATCAATAATAAATTGAGAACAGAAAGATTATTAAATTACTTTCTGCCACAATCATTCAATTGAAGCCACCTGGTGTGGCGCTATATTTGCGTCCTTTCTTTATTTCCCCTTCTTTTCTCTTTCCCATTTTCGTTTCCTGCAGTCCTCAAAAAGTCCCAGCGCGTTTTTCTTTTTCTCCTCGCTGCCCGGAGATGCATCTTCAAGCCTCGAAATCTCCTTTTTCCAACTTCTCATAAAGGATAAGATTTCTGGGTGTTGAGGGTGCTTTCGTTAAATTTGTAATTTTTTTTCAAAAACAAAAAAAAAGTTTGAGGTAAAAAAAAACGAGGATGGTGGCGGAGAAAAACTCGAATTCGAGCTCCGGGAATGGAGATAGAAGCATTAACAGCGAAACCCAGGTGGTGCTGAATGTATATGATCTCACTCCAATCAACAATTACATGTACTGGTTTGGTTGTGGGATTTTCCATTCAGGAATTGAAGGTTGGTCTTTTTTTATTGCCTGATTTCTTTTTTTCTTTTTGCATTTTTTAACATCTGGGTATGGATTATATTAGCTTCCCTTTGGCCCCATCTTGTTGAATTTCTCCGATGTGGATTTTTTTATGGAAATTTCTATTTCTGAGCTGTTCTGCGCATAGCAATTGACATGGAAACAAAGAGGATATGAGATTTTTTCTGATTCATCTTTGGTAGCGTTCTTTTAAATATACATTTTACACTTGCAGTTTTTTTGCTTCTTTTAAAGCAAGCTAAGAATTTTGTATGGAGTTTCTGAGAATGAAGGTGCGATCTTTTGATTGAAGTGCATCTCATGCTCTTGCTTGCTTCCTGGATTTACCTTTTTCGCTGGTTGTTAGATTTACATTTCTATGTTAATTGTTTGTGTTATATGTAATAATGAGTAGATTAGCTGCTTAGGGGCCTAATTATCAATTTATAGATTACCAAGATTTGTTTTGCCAATTGCCCTCTTGTTTTTTGATTAGGCATTTTCCTAAGATACCCGTTTGAGGCAGAATGATTCAGAGGCATTTATTTCAGAACAGTTGGTCTGCAAAAGAAGGTTGATAAGAGTGCCATATAACATAGTTTGGCCTTTTCAGTTCAAATTTGGGGCTGGAAGCCTGGAAGAAGACATTTCCAAGTGCTTGAATAGTTGATTGTTCACAAAGATATGTTTTCTTTTCTGCCAGTAGTGCCTGAAAGAATGCTAGATAAATGCCAAAGATGCAAGTTCTTCTGGATTTATGACGATTGACCATTTTGATATTGTTGGTGTGTGATTTGAGAGCATGTATTCCTTTTTGTTTAGAATATTTTCTGCAGCCAATATTCTTAGTTATTGTTAGGCATTTTTCTTTTCCATTTTATTCTTCCATCGGAATATTGAACGGATCAAAAGCCAAGGTGGGGTAGGGAATTAGGGATAATCTTCTTTAATGGGGTTGGGGAACTTACAGGGATGATAAAATTTTTCTTAAGCTAGTTGGCTGAGATTTGAGTAAATAGGATATATATATATATATATATATATATATAATTGGTTGATCATGAAGCTGTATCCACTGGATTTGACTCGTAGAGGTAAAATATGGAGCAATCTGGACTCTCCATATGTCTGTACATGCATACAGCATATCTGTCTCTTTACATGCATGCAGCATGCCAATGAGAAAGAGCTGCAAGTCATTGGTGTATTCTCTGGAGATAGTGTTTGTAGTCAGATTGGTAAATGTTCAATATTTCAACTGATTTTTGTTGCAAGCATTTCCAGATTCCTATATTTTACTGATTGTGCAATCTGTTCACAAGGCATTAATCGGAATTGTTTGTTTCATCTCATATTTTTCTCTTTAATTTTTGGACAAATGGGATCTAGCAAATGATGGATGTCTTAATGTTAAAACAGTCCATGGTAAGGAGTATGGCTTTGGAGCACATGACTTTCCTGTTAGTGGAGTTTTTGAAGTGGAGCCAAAGAGCTGCCCGGGTTTCATTTACAGATGTTCTATTTCATTAGGTCGAATAAATATGCCACAACCTGAATTTCGGACGTTTATCGAGCGTATAGCTTCTGAGTATCATGGAGATACCTATCATCTCATATCCAAGAACTGCAACCATTTTACAGATGATATCTCACAGAAATTGACGGGCAAGCATATTCCTGGGTGGGTGAATCGGCTAGCTCGGCTAGGTAAAGTAGTTCTCTTTATCAATGAACATTCAGCTTTTTCATTAGAACCTGAAAAAGAATAAATTTCAAAATAAATTATATCTTGCAGTTGCATTCTTTCTTCATTATCAACCTGTTATTATTCTATTTGTGAACCCTTCCTATTCATTGATGTCAAAGAACCGCTGACAAGTTGAATCCATTATTTCCTTTGCCATAAATATAGGAGAAAAAGAAAGTTTTCAATCTCATTCCTATATCTATTTTGTGGGTCATTTGGCAACAAGCAGAAAAACAAATTTTTGAGGGCATGGTTTCCAATCCTTGAGCATTTTGTTTACAGGCCACTCCCATCCTTGATGGTGTGGATTCGGGGAAGTTCATAAACATTTTGATTTCAGACATATTTAAAATCTTTTGTACTTCGGTGGCACCCCTTAGGTGCAGCCATTTCATTTTATTTCCTTGTTATCTAAAAGCTATAAAACTATTTGTTCCTTTGCTCACGTAGAGACTAGTTGTTTCACACAGTAGAACACAGCCCAAAATCTGAACATTTTTCTCTGATCCAACATATAGGTTCATTGTGTAGTTGTCTGCTTCCTGAAAGCCTTCAAGTAACTACTGTAAAACAGCTTCCGGAATACCACGAGTGTGCAGGCAAGTGTTCTACATCTCTTTCCTTGAAATAGTTTGAGAAGATATCCATAACTTGTTCATCAAAAAGTAACCGTGTATTGGGTTTCTGCTTCCAGAAGATGGAACCGAGTCTCTCACAACGACAACTCCCCGCGAGTCAACAGAAATTGATGACACAGATCAAGAGAAACATCTCCTGTCACCGTCTAGTGGTGGTGGGGATGTGTCATTTGTTAAAGAGGCTCAAAAGTCGGAAGCGAGTATGTGTCCTAGTCTAGAAACAGGGGAGAGATTCCCTTCAGATAACGCTTGCTGAAATCATTGCAGAGAATGACTTGCTGGGAAGGGAGAGAATGTTGTTGTGAACAGCGTTGGCTTTCATCACCATTTATAAATTGGTCCAGTTTCTGATTGCTTCATTTGGATGTTGTAGTTTCTTCAAATCGTTCTCTCATTTTTTTTCTGCATTTCTTTTTATTTTTGAGTGTACCTCCCTCCCCCACTCAGTTTCCTTTTTCCTTTTTGGTTTGTTCAAAGATTTTGGAACTTGGTAGGAGCCATGTTGTATTGTGTTTGATGTCGCTGTATTGGCGCTTTGGTAGTGGAAGTATTGGCATGAATACGACTTATCCTTGTCTAAGTACTTCTCTAAAACATTCTCAACATAGTACTAAAAATTAAATGACTAAGTTGGATTCACTCAAATGTACAGTTTAGGTAAATCTAAAGCTTGTGATGAACTACCATGAATAGAATGCATGCAGAATGAAGAGAAATAATCTCATACTACTTGCAGATTTAAAAATCCTCAGAATTCTCTTGATCTTAATCCAAAATAGATAAGGAATAATCCTGGGGACAGAGGACATTTAAGGAAAAAAAAAAATGAAGCAATGAGCCCAGATGGCTGACTAGTACGGATTGAGATCAATCAAACATTCACAAACGTTCTTATAATTCACCAACAGTGCTTTTACCAGTTAAAACGATAGAAGACGTAAGAACAAATATGTCATGCAAAAGCCAATCTTGCTATAACATGTATTTTGCACCCAAGAGTTTTGTCTCCAAGTGAATAACTTTTCCGCCCCCACCACTGTACTTTTACTTTTTTATCAGTTTTTTTCCAGATCTGGATATGGACTGTAATTATGAACTGCAACCGTCAAGCCCCAATTTTGAAGTTAGCCAAGCGCACACCTCATCCATCTCTTCCGGGATTGTATAATGCCCAAGCCTGCTTAGCATGCATTAGAACTTAACATGTAGTGAAGATGTAAATTTTTCAGAAACTGCAAAGAAATGCGTAAATGAGGGACTTCAATCACATACCCACTATAGGATCTGAATGTTACATCCTTAAATCCATTTGAACTCAATGCTCGAGATGATTTCTCACCAAATTTATATGACACCACATCGTCACCTACAACCACAAGCACCAAGATTATGAGCATTCCAATATTTTGAATCACAAAATATTTCAGTGTGTAAAACAAGACGTGAGTCTTTGGCTGGAAGAGCTGAAACAGGAACCAAAGACCTCCATAGAAGGATATATGACAGTTTACAACAACCATAAAAATTACAGTCCTCAACAGTTTTAAGTTTGAATCTTTAGTGACTAAGTCTTTAAATTTTTTTTTTAAAAAAGACTCTCTTCAATTAAATTGCTGTGGCAACAACATACTAAGAAAGAAAAATCAAAAGGTGTTCCTTGAAAGTGAAAATCTTCTATACAAGGCAAAAAAATCTCACAGATCAATTACAGAATGACTTACACAAAGTTCATATAACATAGCAGTGATAACCAATTTGTCTCCTTTTGAGAATCTATTTAAGTTTGATTTTCCTTCCAGTTACAAGACAAAACGGCAAGAAGAAGTTTCCAAGTTAAAGTGGTAAAAGTGACGTCAGTAACCATATAACTAGACATGAGGGTATCACAGCCCAAAGTTTACTCAAGCAAGAGAAGAAATGCTATAAACAGTTACCCAGGGAAAAGACTTAGATTGTCTAAAGTTTGAATGTCTCATTTACTCAAGTGAGAAAATAAATGAAAGCATATTTGAGATGTTTGTCTTTTCTGGTAATATCCGGTTAAGAATGCTTTTCCATCGAAGCTCCAGAGCATCACGGAGCTCCAGAAATAACCTTCGTCAGTCAGACGACAAAATTGCTAATATTAGATGGTAAATAGTCTCTTTATCCACAAGATTACATGCCACAAAGGTTTATCACCACCTGCTGGAGGCAGATAAGTTACAGGTGCTGATGGTCACTATCTCCCAAATGAGATACATATAACATAAATCCTTACTATAGCATATAAGATAAGGATCAATACCTTTTCCATGACACAGTAAAATGGGCAAGGATGCAGCACGACTTGCAGCGTCTTCCTGTCCTATTTTGTTACTCAAGATCCTGAATTATTTTAGAAAGGAAAATGTACTTTTTTGGTGAGAGGTGCCAACATTAACCCCAAACAAGAAAGAGAGGAATAACACTATGAGCTAAAAAGATCAAGAGATAATAGATTAGAGGTCAAACTTGGAACAAGGAAGCCAGCCACTAAGGCCTACAACTGCACTTAAGTTGGAAGGGTATGAATTGCCGTTCCCATATTTTCCTTGGGCAAAGCAGGTTGCAGAGTAAAGGGAAGTTGCTGCACCCATACTGAAGCCCCCAACAGCCAGTTTAACTACAAGGAAAATTACAGTTAAAGCCACAACAAGCTTGGGAGATAAGCAAGCACTCTGAGGATTATAGGCCTCGGGCCAGTAGGAAAAAGGCATTAAATTTGAATAAAGTCTTCGTTCTTTTTCTACGTTTGAAAGTCCAAGCCAGATTTTTATAATAAAATCAAAGTAAAAAGATGAATATCATCATCAATAGAAGAAAAATCTGTCAAACAGCACTTTAGCTAGACATCAAGTCTCAAGAACTCATTCTGAATCGTCACAAATGGAAAAATTCATTTTACACAATGTCATCCATGAAAGAAACAATCAATTCCATAGAATTTCCTTGCGTACTCTCAGTTTTTATGCATTCCTTAATTCAATAAACACAAGATGATATCGTATCTGAAAGAATATTTCCAAATATCAAAGACGCATAAACAAAGTCTCTATTATAGATCTCAAATGCATTAAATTCCGATTGATACTAGACATCATTCATTGGTATTTTTATGCAGCCAAGTACATTTCTGAAGAACAAAATGACCACTGACCACGCTAATCAAACAAATATTAAGCAGAAATAACAAGGGAAAACAAAGGAAAGAGGGACAACTTTCTATTCATAACAGAGATTATAGCAGAAGATTATTTAGGAAAAATAATTTAGAATAAACAATAAATGTCTAAGCTCCTATCTTACATTTGATTGGCTAGAAACTTCAAAAAAGAAAAGGAAAGAGTTTATCTCACAGAAGATAGAGTGGAAGTGGCTGTCTAAGCTCCTATAACCATGTATTTCCTTTCATGAATTTTTCAGATGTGTATGCGTATACATGTGTATATGTAGAAGACTTATGAATATATGGCCATGAAAATTTCAAATCAGTATAGCCTTTCCAGATAAAAAGCATCAAGAGATAGGAACATACTGTCAGCAGGCTCTGTTGATAACAAGTTTGCAACATGTGCTGCTGCAGCATCCAAACCCTCTATATCATCTGGAGCATCTTCAGAAAGATCTCCCACATCAAACCCTGATTTACATCAGGATAAAATTCAGGTTATTAAAATTTGGTGTTTGAAATGGCAGAATATAGTTCACAAGAACGAGTTTCAACTCCATATTAGAAATACTTTTCTTGTTCAAAGCGCTAGCAAAGAGTAAGAGTTTACGTGGATGGTACATCCTTCCTCCTATGCCCACTCCCAAAAGAAAGATATAATATCCATACATGACTTTTATCAAGTATCAACTCAAATGATCCTTAAATCCAAATTTGTTCAAGTGAAGCTACATGAATCCTCTTCCTTCCTATTGTAACAGGAAAATTTTTTAAGCAGCCGTGTTTCATTTATTCTTTACCCTAATTTTTAACTTTTCTGCTTTTTTTAAGAAAAAAAAAAACGAAAAGAAAACATCTAATTTAACTGTACTTACAAGCTGTGGATGGGAAGCCACCAAATAAACTTATTGGTTGAGTAGGAGCAGTTGGACATATCCATTTAATCTGCATCATGAAATTTCATGCAGCATAATATCATATATATATATATATATATATATATATATAGAGAGAGAGAGAGAGAGAGAGAGAGA